CTACAAAATGATAAATGGCAATAAATAAATGTAAATCCATTTTTATTGTCGATTTATTGTGTCGTTTCCACTAAATAAATTTTTATTCCACATCCTCTTTCAATTCAATCACATTTTCCGTTGCCCGTTGGCTACTCCGGCCAAACGCGCATCGAAAAAAAAAGTCAATTCACAAAATACTCCAAATGCTCTTATGAAAACAATGAATGCTTTGGTCATGAGAGACAAAAAAAAATCGTACAATTTTTTTAAAACATTTTTCATGCCGGTTTTATGACATCACGACACATTTACCATATTAAACTTTTAATTCCACAAATATGACAACTGAAATAACCTCATAAAATTATGATTTCCAATTAGTTAATTGTTTGATAAATATTTTCAATCGTATTTTATGCAAATATTTTCAAACCGAAGTAAAAAAAATTCGATTCGTATGAATGTGCTGAAACGTGTGGCATTCAAAATACTCTCTCCATGCACAATCAAAACTGGTATACTCTATATCATTTCTCCGTCGTTCATCCATCCTCGATCCCAAATCACAACCATCGTTTGAGCTCCATCTTTTGGTCGGCGTCGAAACCGAGATGTCAATTGTTCATTAAATTTGTTGATGTTGAAATGTTGATTTCCCCAGGCGGTGGAAGCGCGCACGCATGAATAAAGTGATGGTAAAAAAATCAGCCCACTTTCGGATTGGATTGCGTTCGAGTGTGTTTGCGAAGAAAGGCCACTTAAGACGGTAGCTGAGAAGAAGGAGCTACTACCCACACATACATGCTTAGCATGTTATCCACATGTGCTGTGGCCGTATCGCACTGGTTGTCTCTTTTCGACTGTGCTTTCGCTCCATCCGCTTCCACGAATCGTGAAACGATTGTTCACTTTTATGACACTCTTTGGCGGCTGTTCGTTTGCAGAAATATGCCTCCTTTGGTTTGTTATCTTCGGCTCGTTTGGCCATCAACGATATTCGTCATCACTCCATCCAATCTAGTGTTCGCTTTCACACGCTCTGTATTTACCGTTGATGCCGACGAGTGCGCGCCATTGGTGGAAAATGGTGTGCGCGGCTGGAGTAGAATCGCGTTCGGTTTGAGGAGTTTTTGTGGCAGCCGGCACATATGATGCGTTGTTTTATCCACTTTTTCCGATGGTTTAAAGCACGTGGTTTTTCCAATCGCACTCAATGCAATTCGAGTCAAGTGGTTGTCTAGTAGTGCGTTGTAGAATGAAAAATCACTCTTAAACGCATGGCACTCAACCGTTTGCATCACGGTTGTGAGTGGAATTTTCTCACTCTTCAGCATCACAGCATGCACACGAATGAAACCCAAAGATACACATACTTTTAGCTACGAGTAAACAAACCGCTTTTCCGCAATTCACTCATCATCATTGTTTGTATCGAAATAATCATTGTGTGTATGCTTACGCTCTCTATACACTGACACCGATGCTACCGAATGCGGATAATGATTGTGATGATGGTCTCGTGTGAGAGAATGTGCGTGCGTCTCTGTCTGTTTGCTTTTTTTGTTGCTTCTGTTAAATATTCGGATGGATTTTGTGCCAGCGTAGTGTGTTGTTGAAATTGAGAAAGCGAGAGAGAGCGCGTCACTGGCATACACACAGGAGTATCGTTGCGAAGACGGGTGCATAGCATGAATTTTTGTTCATTCACCAACAGTATCGAACGAACTATACAGACAGACGCAGAGGTTTGTGTGGTTGAGAGCACATTCCGAGGCGATTTGATATTCAAATTCGGATTACATGATCGTTGCAGTTTCGCAAGTTTTGTTTTTTCTTGCTTATTTTAAACGATAGAAGAACAAAGAAAAAATGCAGCACACATTGAATCAACAGTTTTAAGTGACTTAATGGACTTTTGCTGGAAAAAGGAATGCTTTCATTTTCATTACCATCGTTTAAATAAATATCGAACCATTTTTTTTCGAACATTTATGCAGTTTTTCTGGTGATTGACGTGTGAATAAAGTCGTGATTTTTGAAACAATTACAAAATTGAAGCGGCGTGTGTACGGAAGTGATTGTACGGTCTTTTTGTCCACGCTATTTGGTTATCGAAAGCGGAAAATTGTGTCTGTGCATACGTGTCTGTGTGTGTGCTGTCCGCGTATTCAAATTTTCGATTTCAATTTTCTGTTACAGAGGGGGAGTTCATCAATCAATGTGGCGATAAAACAAGTGCTTTGTGTTCGAATGCTTTTCAAATGAAAAACGTTGGTCCGCATCGATCAATTGATTGAATGATTAAAGCGTCTGGCGAACAATAGCAACAGAAAAAAAACGCTAGACAATTTTTTATGGTGTGCGTTAACTAGTGAATAAATGACTTTGATTCGTATCACAGTGTCGGCAAGTTGATGAAGCTGTGGTATCTGATCGGTGTTCTTCCATTAATGCTCTTTGAAGCAATTGGAGAATCAACGAACACAAATAAAAATGGAGTCATACCTGCGACAAATGGTAAGATCCAAATCGGCGCCGGTTTATTTGCCCAAATCGACAACCATCAACTCATAAACTAAATTGCTACTTCGACCATTCGCACGCAAATTAAACATATAATTCAAACCAGTCCATTAAATAATTAATGGCAATAGGCCTATATAGATACAAGTAGATCTCTCTGGATCGCATTCAATTTGTGGCATTTATTATATCTATTTTTGCTGTGTCAATATTTATCGAGTTATCGCATTTTGAAATATCAATTGCATGTAACTATGCAAATTTCACACGGATGGATTTTGAGTTTTAGTCGGTTGAAATTTATTAGTTCGTTGGTTTGAGCGTGTGTGTGTGTGTGCACTGTGCATGGATACCGTTTTGTTGCAATGAATTAATACCGTCATTAAAAGCTTCCATTCAACTCAATGGAAATACACATCAACATCATTTGACACGATTTGCTGCTACTTTTCACAATGATACCACCGTCACTGAGTCAAAATTTATCATTATTTTGCATTCAATGGTATTGTATACACGAAATCGTCATTAAAGGATGAAAATGCAAAATTCGCACGATGGAAAGACTGATTTGTACATATATTTTCATTTTGGAGGTTTTTCCCCATATATGCCTGGTTGTTTTTCATTACCGCGCTTGTTTCCGACCGCGTCGAGCTATCGAACGAACTAACCGAGGAAGTGAAAATAAAATGCGAAAATGAATGCAAACAAAAGAGTTCAGTGCACAAAAAATCATAATGAAATGGAAGCAAAACCCGACATTTGTTGCGTTTAAATTCAAAACAATTGCGGTCGTTCCCCCGTGCACAGTTCCATTGCAAACAGGATAATTGAAATTACAGCACAAATTCACAGCGGAAATGATTATGAAAATAATTTTCAAAACCTTTGATAAACCAATTTCAAAATTAAATTCAACACATTAATCTTGATTTTTCGGCCGACCTGGTTAGCGTGGCACAGTTAAGATTTTATTTGGGCAGGCAAAAATATGGGTTTATTTAAAGTGATTACATCATTTGGCTACAAATTTTCAATGAAGCCACTGATTTGGAACGAGATTAATGCCATAAACTTCATATTTTCGATTCAATCGTGTAAAATGCAGTAATATTTTGATTTAACGAATTTAAAAAGTAAACAATAGTAAACGGTACGTCCAAACGTTCATTGCATTGTGATTTCAATACGAATGAAAATATTTTCTAGAAATAATAAACTAAACGACGTTCAACGAATGGTAAAAGCTCTTCCAACTCAGAAAAAAAAACACTTGACTCGACTCGAATCTAAAACCATCCCGAAAAATTCAACAGAAAGTGATGCGGCGTGTGTCTACCACAGGAAAAACAACTTTTAATTGTATTATGAATAAAATATGCGCAAATCGAAATGCATGTAGATATGAAATTGACGCTCATTATGCTGGACAGTGAAAGTTCATGAAATCGATCCGCTTGAAATCACGTGCCGCCGAAAATATTGCATCGAAACAAAATAATCAACGCCATTCGGTGGTTGAATTTGCATTCATTTGTTTTTAGAATCATTTAAAATTCAATAGTTTATTTATGGTCAACAATGAACGTTCCCAGTGTGGTTATTAAAATGATTCTGTTTTGCTCTTCCTCCCTCTCTCTGTCTCTGTCTATGGCATGCAGCGGTGGCCGAAGACCCCGAATTCACGGACATTATTGAAAATGTAACGGTACCTGCTGGAAGGAATGTACGAATGGCGTGTTCAGTGAAAAATCTCGGCTCTTTTAAGGTAAAATTCATTTAAAAAAACAACATTATTTTTAGTTCTGGGTATTTTACATAATCAGCATTTTTGCGTCAACCATTTCGCATGAAAATAGACCGTAAAAACAGTTGGCAATAAAATTCTGAATAAGCGCTCTCTGTGTTTAATAAATTAGGTGCAAAAAAATGCGAAAAACAATCGATGAGAGTACGGTACTGTTTCTATGGTGTTAATGTCAAATGCTGATTCTGGCTGTTTCGCGAATGTGTTTATTAAATCGTAACAATGCGATTTTGTTCGTGTGCATGAGCTGCAATGAAAAGTATGCAGCAGAAAAAAACGTCGCAATGGATCCGTCGAGACTGGTTGAACCCCATTTTTTTGTCAAGTATCAAATGGTTTTTTTCACTCTTGAACCAAAAAATTCCCATGGTCACAGAAGAATTCGATGAAAAGCTTCGAATAGGTAGAAAAAATGTGTGTGTGTGTTTTGAATGTGATATTGGAATACCAAGTTATTACGTTAACTTCACTAGGTTTCGATATTATGCAAAAATTGTCAGGCGATTTTTTTTTCGTTCGTCCTTTTCATGTTTCGAATGGCAATATCTCATAAACAAATGCCACCGTTTCCATTGACACAAATCAAATTTTCAGCAATAAAATCAGTTTTGTACAACATTTGATTTTTTTTTTCCTCGACAATACAGTGGAAACTTTTGATTCGATACAATTTTGTAGCAACGAAAATAATTCCAAAGTCACAATTTTCTTTCTTTTTCTCTCTCTCGCTCTTTCTCCTCTTTTTATATCTTTTAATTCGTTGACGTTTTTGACTCACCATTTCAAAATCGAATTTGTTTCATTGTAATTCCACTTAATCGCATTTTGGACGTTACGTGTTTGAAAAAAAATATATATAAAAAACCGAAGAGAGAAGAAATGCTCGGCATCGGCGAAACAGTGAAATCACGGTCGCCACCGCCTTCAGTCTACTAGCAGAACAGGCATATAAAAGCAAATAAAAATCGTTTGCAATAAAAACATACGTCCAATAAATCAGTCAGTTCATCCCCTATCTCGCTGCCAGAGCCCGTGCGTTTTTGTGACGTTTTCCCTCATTCGTTTGGTTTGTCGATGAGGAACCAACCGTCGACATATCGCCATGCACAATCCCGAATACTCTATTGCTAATAGCAAGTTTCGTTATCAGTTTATACGATTGCATGGCTTTTTCTCTGTCGGTATGCACTGTTTTTCTGCTCTGCTTCAGTTTTGTTCCCAGCGGCTTGCATAACAAATAGCAACAAAAAAAAGTCTCATCTTCTGAGCTAACAAACGCCTGCCGTTTCTTAATTCCGCTTTCTTTGGTATTCATGAAGCCAAGGTGAATTACACGCTTGAACGAGCAATAAGGATTCAAATGGACTTTTTTCTCTCTCAAGAACAATACACAAGCTATATAAAATAAAACGACTTTCAAATCGGAATAGGAGCAACTAGGCAACCAGACTTGTGCCTCAACTCTTACCTAAACTCTTAACATAGGATAGAGTCCATCTTTTTGTTCAAACGCAAAAATTTCCATCTTTATTTGTAAACTTCTCAAGTGAGTCGAAGGAATTTTCGTTAAAAATGAAGAGTTAATTTCTGTCATTTGAAAAAATAGAATGTTTATTCTCAAAATCAACTGACATTTTGTCACGTTCTTCCAATGCATCCAAATTGACCATTGTCGTAACCAATCATAAGAAGTGTTCCAGAAAAAGTGTTTTACTATCTGAAAGAGACCGTGCGATGTGACAGTACGGTTGTGTGACACGTGGAAAGTAAATAAATCTATTCTCTGTGACCAGGAAAACAAAAGTGGAATATAAAAGAGTGCTACGTGAAACGAAAGTCAACGACTTTGCGGGTGAATGGTATAGTTCTATTCCCACCACAAAACCTGTTTATCATTTTTCATGGTGTTTGTGCGTGTTTTTCCGCTTCATTTTTATGATGTTCATGAGAAATAGTGCAGATGCATGGATTTACTAGAGCTTAGCATTACAATCCGACATTAAAATCATTTGTCAAGTGGATGAAAAAAACACATCTTTGTATTATTCGAATTGCAATTGCCCAGCAAACTTGCAATATTTTGTTTTGGGTGAAACTTTGAAAAAAATGTGCGATGAAACTACAGAAATTCTGTTGGAGAATTCATTATGTCCCATGAAAATGAGGTTCAATGAATCAAACAATGTATAAAATTGATAAACGCTCTATTTAAGGCAACAACATTGGAATATGAACCCTTCACCAAAGGATCTTCAAGTCAAAGACTTTGGCATAGACTGTGGTTAAAATGTAGGTTATTCTCAAGCGAAAGTACTTCTCCGAAACCAATGAAGCGGCAATTATTGGCATTCAATCTAATTAGTGTTAAATTGTGGTTAATTTTGGGTGGTTGTGCATAACTAGTGGCATAAATGATTCAAATTTCATTGGGATCGCTCTATAGAAACAACGTAATGTTCTGCTTTTGTAATACAATGTGCTCATTCGGCTTTATAAATATTTATCGTCAATACATTGTTTATAGCTCCTTCACAGCTTGAAACACGAGAACATCAATAAAAGTCCCCCGCCCCATTATATACGGCATGCCAAAGCAAGTTTCGTTGAAAACCGCTAATTAATACCAAGTAATTCCCATTTCAGTGCACTATTGAATTCATCAAAATACTTGCACTTTACCTCAATCGATTGCAATTCAGCATGTTTCGTAACAGAAAACCACCATTTAACAACTTTTCAACAACAAAAAGAATCATTCCACAATGTTGATGAGTTTTCGTGAGTGAGCGGCCGCCAAATGGCAAAATAAAAGCAAGATAACGAACAAGTTTGAAGAACATGTGTTTTTCATGGGGCGAACTTATGCAATTTTGCTCTCTATCCCTTCGAAGTCGACTTCTATCATTTCACGATCTCTCTTTTGAGAAATCGTAAAAAGTAAATACGAATATTTGCCTGCGAAAACACGTACTAAATGTGGATAATATATTCAAATTCATATGTTTGGAATTGCATCCACCCTCGGCGTTTACAAAAGTGTGTTATGGAGCGAGAGCAAGAGAGGGAATGAGAGAGAAAGAGAAAAAAAATGTGATGCTATCATATTCATAGCACAATTATTTACTATCTTATTTGCCAGTAATAGAAAAGTCAGAAGAAAAGTCCAACCACGAAAGAGAACGAAGCAGAAAAAAAAATATGAAAAATGAGTGTCTACACTCTACACGCTGTGACACCGAAAAAGAGCAAGAGCAACAACAACAGCAACATGTAACAGAACGAGATGAAAAAGCATGTCATACTGTCATTTAGAGAATGTAATATTTGTATTCTTTGCATAAAATCATAGATTTTGATGCCGAGTTCTGGGCTATGAATATAAATTCAACATAAATTTTTGTGGCGGTCGCTCGACAAAACAAACAAAGAACAAAAAGAAACAAAGACGAAAAAAATATATATATATGAAATGACGAATAAATAAAGGAAAATAGAACGAATTCGTGCTAGAGCTAGATTATGGTCCGAAAGAAGTTCCCTTCGATGTACCAATTTTTCTATTACAACGAGAAGTTTTGCCATTCAAGTGATAGTTGGCCATTTCATGTCGCATCTTGTTTCAATATGCCAACCACAAGAGGTCATAAATTTGCAATTTTAGGCATATCAAGTTGATGATAATCATTTCTTAAGACCCGACTGCTTTTCTCAATTGAAGTCGACGGAATTTGTTGTTTCTTCTTGTTGCGAAGGGGAAGATGCAAAGAATAAAAAGCGGCACATCGCGGGATCATCGACGGTCTGGACAAGGAAAAAAGGCGGTTGTTTGAATAGACAATGACCTATACTTTTTCCGTACACACACAAAATATGGCTTTTTTTGGTTTGACATGCAAATGATACCACCATCTTGATTTGCGCCCAGTTTTTCCTCTGCCGATGATTTTCTAATTCCGCAGTCAAGTGTTTGTGACTCGTGTTTGTACACGTTCAGCCCTGTGCTAATATTTGCTTTCCCTTAAATATTCAATCTAACCGATGCTGCGAGCGCGAACTCACAACAAAAAAAAAAACCATCATCCAAAGTGAGCGGAATCCAAGGCGTGAGAGTGTATCTTTGTGGTAGATTTTGGTTGAGTCAGTTGCGAGTCATTGTTTGTTATTCGTTTCGACATGATATTTGATATATTTTTTTATTATTAGCATTTAATTCGGTGCAGGATGTGCACTGGAATTCGTAATTACATTGGCCCTTTTTTGTGCTAACAAGAACAAGTCGCTCATTGAATTCAAACGCGCGCGTTCTTTCGACTTTTTTTCCCTCGTACTCTGTGTGTTCCTTTGATTTTATTCAATTTTTTTCGGTTCTTCGCTTTTTTTGCGTTCACTTTGTCGAATTTTCTGCTATTGTCTCGTGTATCTTTTTCGGTTTCACTACGGCATGTGGTTACCCCAATTGCGTTCGAAACGAGCAACCAGCGTTCACGTGTATTTTGGCAAATTGGCAATGTCATGAGTTAAAGAATTTAGCAATTGTACGAAAGACATTTTTTTTTCGTTCTCTTTCTCTCTCTCTCTCTCTCTCTCTCTCTCTCTCAGTTTCTCGTTCGAATTTCGCGTGCACGCGATTAATGAAACGAATTGCGCCCAACGAAATGCAAATGCTCAGTGATTGAACGTCTTGAAACGTGGCATAAATTTTGTACAGCCTCGAAAATCTATTGAACAAACATTCGAGCGCGAATGAATTTGAATTGATTTTTTGATGAATTTTCTTTGATTTTCGTCTTCGAGCGCACCGATTCGCGTGCCTTGAATATTGAATAGAGAAATAGCGAAAGTTTCGGTCATAAAATCAAACGCACCATACCATTTATGGCTTGTAATTCAATTAATTTTTTTTCCGCTGCTGTTGCTGCTGCTGCTGTTGTTATTTGCTTGATTTGATGCTAAACATTTTATTTCGCTCGCTATTAGCATATCCGATTATATTTCGTGTACAATCATTGATATGCGCACTTTCGCCGGAAAATACAAAACCGTGCTTAATCTCGCATCTTTACTAACATTTTACACGTTTTCGGTAGATACCTTTGTAAAACACCCTTGGAATGATTGGATGAAGGAATTCATGCATGTGGAAAATAATCTCACCAAAATGGATTCAACACAACCGGATACTAGCAAATTTTCGCATGAAAGGTGCAAAAAAATATAATAATTAAAATATTTCCAAGCAGTCGAGCATACTCACCATCAAATGCATGGTGATTTTACTCAGATTAGCCACGACGGCAATAGAGTGAAATAAAATTTTAATTAAAATGAATTAATAAATTCAAGTTGACCCCAACAGCACCGAACTGCAGCAATGGAAATTTATTTCAATTGAAACTGAACACTACTGAAACACACTTTTTTTTTATTTCGCAATGAAATTTTCATTTCGTCATATAATTTGTTTTCCAAAGCGACAAATTTGATGTTTCCAATGGTTCCAAATTGTACATCAACTCATCATAACTTTTGTCAAAAAGAGTACAATTTATACACTAAAAAATAAAGTTTCACAAGAGAAAGTAAGAGATCACTTTCTCACTGGGTACAATGTCCATTTTTTCTCCAGCATCGTCCATAATTTTTGCTCTCTTCTCGTTCATATGAACGACAAGCTTGTAATTTCCCCACAAGGAATGTGCTTAAAATCTACCGCAATATTCGGATATGCTCTCGGGAGCACGTAATCATCTGACTACTCTACCAGATTATATGGTGGTATCGTTGTTTGGACGCGATTCATATGAATTTTACTCTAGCATTAAAAGCTACTGCAAGAGTTTCATCACTGTAACCACGACATTCAATTGGTTAAAAGGGAAATTTATCCATGAATGTGGAAGAGGCTAATCTTTAATTTCTGATGAATAAGTGCAAATAGCATGATGGTTTCAGCGGTGTTAAAATGGAATTTGAATTTTTTTTTCTAAAACCTTTTGAATAAGGCGAAAAAATGTTTTTTTTTTCAATTCATTACTCAAGTTTTTTTTCCTCTTTTTTTTACTTTTGCTGATAAAAATGTATTTTATTTAATTATATTTTTTCTTGATTTTTTTTTATTACAATGAAATGCAATGGTCTATAGATCGGAAATTCTCAGAAGGATCAAATGAAAAAGACGTTCATCTATGTGATTTCAGAATTGAGATTAAGTGATTAAGGAACCGTTCACTTTCTTTCATATAAAAGAGCATGTAATGAATATCATTCGACATTTTATTCTGTAAAAGTCCCTTGCAAACTCTCGTTTCTGCCCGCAACGATGCAAATGTGAAATCAAAATGGAGCTTTCATTTCGTATCGCTGTTGCTGAGTACTATAATTTTGTCACATCTGATATGTCCTTTAATTCCACCTGAATGGAACATCAACAAGCTCTCCGTTCGGTTGTGATTCTCGTATTTGGATTCGATTTAATGTGTGTTTTCAGTCATCTAGTAGTGATGGGTTGTATGTGTGTAATGCAAGATCAATCGGCGTCACAATCTCGATGCGAAAAAGTGGAAAAGCGTCAGCAAAAAAGAAAGTGCGCCAACGAGAAACGACCGTAAATTTTATCGCTGTTGGTATCAAATTAATATGCACATAAATAGAAATTTACACGTCTACATCCGTACGTTTGGTTTTGTGTCGTCGCACACAAAACGAATCTCATTTCAAATGTTTACATTTCGCCTGAATTCTCGGCGAACTGGAAACATGTGGCTGAGATTAGTGAAGCAAATGCAATGCAATCAACTAGCTCTCTCTCTCACTCTCTCACAGGCACTTTACACAAAATGTTATAAAATTTTCCAAAGTCCCTCGGTTATCAGCAGTTTTTGCGATGCGCCACTGATATGGAAATGATTCTTAGTGTTATGAAGCTCGTCGCTGGCATTTGTTTTTTTGTTTCTCCTTCTTCTCGGAATCCATTTAATCCGGCTAGTGGTGCATAAGTTGTTTCCGTTGAAATACAAGAAAAAGAGATTGTTGCGCGTTGATAAATTCCAGTACAATCAGGCAGCTGACTGTGTGTGACTATGGCGTTGTTGCCATTGACACGTCGCATCATTCCGGAACAAAACAAACATATAATCACATGAACAAGAGATACTCTATTTGCCTACATCGGGTTTTGTTTACGGAAATTTCATATGCACAAACAAACCAGCCAGCGCGCCTGGGAATGACAACAAGACAGAAAAAAAACTTCCCGAGTATCACACAAGAAGTGGAAATAAAGAGCATTTTCGAAAGAGCTAACTGAATATACTTGGTGTGAAATGCTTCGGTTTCGGGCGGTGGGAATGAAGTACGTACAGTTGTTTTTTTTGGTGTGTCTCGAAATGCTGTGTGATATTGCGACATTGTAGCGCATATACACCAATCATGGTGCTAACAAATTGGTATGAGTATTCGATATTGATATTGTGAAAGGGATAAATTTCTTCATGCATTTTTCACTTCCGACCACCAGTGTCGTCGTCGACGGGAGTCCCACTGTGTTTGTGAGTGTGCACTGGCATCACCGTGCATTTCTCTCTGTTTTTCACTCTGGCTGCCGGTGCCACTTCTTTTTTCCTTAGCTCCATTTTATCCGTTTTCTCATTTCATTTTTATTTCACACGGTATGTGTGTAGCATTGCGACGATTCGTTTTGTATGTAAAAATGCGAATCACGTTCTGGTTCACACCTTGTCTCTCTCGCTCGCTCGATTTTCGCTTCGCAGATAAAATTCAATATGTTCTTGCGATTGCTGGTGGTACATGCAGCTTTTTTGTCTCTTGAAATATGTGCTTTCGATTCTTCGCATTGTCTTACTAATCTTTTAAACTGATCGCGCGTCGTCATCATCATCATCATCATCGTTCGTTGAATACTGTATGTGTGTATGTTCGCTGTTCAAATTGCCAAACTTTCTTTTCCCCTTCTTGTCGAGCTCTCTCATTTCTCGTTATTATTTTGTAAATGCATTCGTTTTTATTCACAACATTGCCACACAGTCACAGCCATTTGTTCGATTTGTGCTGGAGCATCTCATTGTCATGTGTATCTTTCAATTTTGCCAATATCGACAGTAAATAGATAGTTGTTTAGCTTCGTTTAGTTTAAATTTGACATTACATTCAATATTGGAATGGCAACGACAACGAAGAAGATGAATGATGCGGAGCGCTCGTGAGCATTTCGTTTTCGAAACAGTCGAAATGAAGTGTCTTTATATTGGAACCGATTAAAATGAATCACTCTTCAAAATCCGATAAGATATTCGGCACATTCGACGGAAATCGATTTTAAAACGGTACGATCGAATGGGGCATTGTTCTGAAAATAATTGGATTATAAATGGCAAAAGTCATTGCAACGTCGTCGTTCGTGAGAGATGATTATTTTTTTTTGTAGTAGTAACTTTTTCTATGTTTCAATCTCAAAAATGATCATTATCCTTTCATAAAATGATTATGAACGCTTGATTCAATTCTAAGATTGTAAACACTTCTCATTCAATTCAATGAATACACTTTTTTAATTTGCTGATAACAAATCTATGTGATTTTCTCTCTTTTTTCCCCTGTTTCAGGTAGCTTGGATGCATTTCGAAGTGAGTATCTCAGCCAGAGAAATAGTTTATAATGAATGCTGTGTGACTTCATCTCTATTGATAACATCATTGCTTTTTTCTCGTCCTATAGCAATCGGCCATTTTAACGGTGCACAATCATGTAATCACTCGAAATCCGCGGATCAGTGTAACACATGATAAACATGATAAGCATAAAACGTGGTACCTTCATATTAATAACGTACAGGAAGAGGACAAGGGTCGTTATATGTGTCAAATAAACACTGTTACAGCGAAAACGCAATTTGGCTATTTATCGGTTGTCGGTGAGTATGAGTATATTGAGTTGGCAACGCTCTCTCTATCTCACTGTTGCTGCTGTGCATTTTACCATGTCCGAAAAAAATGCCATTTGGCAGCTTTGTTCATCACCTTTGTTCCACACAGCCGCTTATATACCCTCCTCTGCTTTTTGTTATTGTTGTTGTTGTTGAAAAAATAAATATATATTCCGCAATTTATTCGGGAGCCGTTCATCAGCGTAGCGCCACATATCGTGTTGATTCCCGCTTATAAAATAATTTATTGTATAACATTTGGCGCGCTGTTTATTTTAACCGCATGTTTTGTTTTTGCCCATCTATTTACCACGGTGTTTTTTTTTTCCTGTTGCTACTGCCCGCCTGCCTGCACAATGCACACTCACACTGGTTTGCGCGTTCCATTGTGTGTGTGTGTGAGTGTTGTCTATGGTTTTTCGAATATTTGACCTGTTTTACATATGCCATTTATTGAAGTCGATATATTTTATTTTTTGCCACTCGTCGTTCTCTCTCTCCCTCTCCCGTCGTTCGCCCACCATTCACGAGAGTGGTTTTATGTGTTTGCATTTTGCCTTTCTCACGGCCACATTTCCATTTTAAATTCCACTTCGTTTCAATGTCGACAGTTATTGCATCACTTCATTTTTCGAAATGGCGAAAGATGCGAATGCGGGCGTCGAAGAGACTTTGCCACTTTTTTGCCCACGTCGATTTTTACCATCATTCGTTCACTTTTTCTCAACGCTGGTAGTGGTGGTGGTGGTTGTTGTTACCACACGATGTCATTTGTTTCGTTTGCATCCATTTAAAATGTTAATGCACGAATTCACATCATCAATTGCATTTTCACTGCGTTCGTGTCTGTGCTGCTACATGTTGTGGATTATGTCGGTGCATTTTTCCATATTTCTTATTTGCCCGTGTACTTGTCCAAAATTGATGGTTAATGCAACAAGAAATGCATATCAAACGCAACAAAAAAAACTATCTATTGCGCACATGAATACCAACATTGTTCCTTGCATTCTCTGAAGCTCTTCAATTTTCTGCTCGGCATTTTTGACATTTTACTCTAAAAAGCTTCGGAATCCAGAGAGAGAACGGCTTAGGAAAATGCACAATTTCATTGAAATTCCACAACGATGATGATTTTTCTGTTAAAAGGTTAAAAACAGAAGGAAAAAAAATGAATGAAATCTTCCTGTGGCTATAATTCCAAAGATCGAAATGCATGCGAGAAAAAAAAATTACATCGAAAAAAAAAATGCAATTTTCTACTTCATCTCTTCCATATTTTAAGATGGTTTTTATTTTATCTCGCATTTACTCAAGGGAATTTCGCTTGGGAAAACTTTCTTTTGGGAATTTGATTGAGATAACCGCGTGAAATGCGCTGCTTAAGCTGTTGTGTGTCACACACCTTATTATCGAAAAATGTTCTCAAGTTGGATTTACACATCGCATTAATGCATCATCAATTTTGGCCGCGCCACAACCGAAAAATCGAAAGTTAAATCCTGCTCTCTTTTTCTCGATCTCTGAAGTCGTATTGAACTGAAACTAAGTAAGCTTGATGTTAAGCCAGGTAGCAATAGCATGCGATTTACTTCCATCACCGCCTTATTATCACCTCATCGTAGTCGTCGTTGTCGTCATCGTCCTTAAATCGGATTCAAACTCATCAACTCATCAAGACGGCTAAAACAATTTCACCGAATTGTGTTGAAGGAAAGCGTAACAAATTACATGACTTGTTTCCGAAGAGATTTGCACGATTTTAATCCCGAGCTTTTCCACAAGTTAAACGTGTGCAACGTCACAGAAAATACACACATTGAATTTAGTATTTTTGGAATACGATTCAGCATATCGTTCTGTGGTTGCGTATGCGTATTATAATAATGGCAACAGCATCCACGGCAACGATAAATGCTTTAACAAACTGATGTTCATTTGCACCTTTCTCGGAAGGCAGTCGACAAATTTTATACCGTAACAGTGGAATTACTCACACTGCTCCCACCACTAGTGCTTGAGCTGCGCTTCTTCACGTCTTTTTTTTTTGTTGAACTTAAAGAACATTTCACATTATAGATAAGTAGAAATAAGACAGAGAGTTGAAATCAAATCAAATGTTCGTTGGTTTTCGGAATTGGCGGTGGTGGAACAGTTGTTGCTGGATTGCATGTAAGCGTTTTTATGTTATTTCAAAAGATAAAACCATCAAAACATTCATTCGTAACATAACGAGCAGATTTTCTGTGTGCCTCGTATCTCTCGACATTTCGACAAGCGTTCCTTTTTTCTCTTTCTGTTTATCTCTCTCTCTCTCTTTCTCTACCAGCCCGCAGAACTTTTGTTGTTGTTTGGGATTCATTCACTTGATGTTTTTTTTTCCTTTCGGTGTGTGTGTGTGCAAACCGTAGCATTCGCTTTTTTTCATTAAATATTAATAAGTTTTGCTCTTTTCATTGGCCAAAACGGAGTATGTCTATAATTTCGTTCAAGCTACTCACTAACTATTCCATCACAAAGTGGAGGTGAAAGCAAACACAGTGAAAACACAACGCACGAACAAACAGACACACACACAGACACACACAGAGAGAGACAAGAGGAAGAGACCGAGACCAGGCCAAATGATGATGATGAAGAAAAGCAAACTTTACTTGCTTCACTCAAGTACTTAGTTACTTCTTTGGTTGAGTTTTCGCACAAAACGCAACGCATCAACTAAAGCCGAGAATGCGGAAAGAGAGCGAAGGAGCGAGGGAGCTAGGGAGACAGACCTTGCACGGTATTTTGTTGAAATCCTGAAAACGATGTGATCTTCATACATATAAAATAAGTTTGGTGTATTTATTCTAGCATTGGCAAAAGATAGATACGATTTGTACGCTTATGAGTGCATACAAACGAGGCTCGCAGGCATCTCCGCCAACCATTTCAAAAACTACTCCAAAATAATACACATGAAATGCACACGCGCACACACACACAAACACCAGAAACTTCTCTGCGAATAGGTGCACAAAATGGCAAAACAACAAGTGAATGCAAAAATAAAACACACTGAGAAGAAGGACTGAAAAAGGAAATACGAAAAATAAAGCGATTACCCAAAAGAAAGCATATAAGTCGGACTGCGGCACATTTCCAAGGGATAAAGTTGTTGCCAAGAAAACAAGCGAACTCAAGCGAAAGAGTAAAATTGAAATCTTAAAATCTGCATTTCAATTTGTGTATGCATCGAAGCTTATAAAATTATTGTACGAAACGCCAATGCTCTATGCATCAACATTTTTCCTGTAACCGACAATAATTCCAGTCTGTGGAGCGAGAAAAAAACGGAGACAAGTCATGGCTTCATAGAGTACACATGCGAAAAAAATAAAATCCTACAAAAAAAAAGTTGTGCATTCATGTCCGAATCAATCACGATGACGTAAATGTAGTGGTTACCGCTAACAGACACTTTCAACAGGGCCAAAAAGAACGAGAGAAAAACAGAAATCTCTCCGCCACTTGAGCGCTCTCGTTTTCAATTCACAAAGAAATAAAAATCATTGCACATAGTTTTATAGTTCGACATACATTCCATTCCATTCCGTCGATGCTTCGTTTTGCCATTTATTTTTCTCTGCACAGAAAGAATAAAGAGAATATTTTATCGTTTCTCTAAATTTTTTTTCTTCTCTTGTGTGTGTATGTGTTCGCATATATGCATTTCGAGCCGTTTGACTTCGCATTCCGAGCAGATCTCACATCAATTCCCCCCGCCCTCTCTCTCTCTCTCTTTCTCTCTCTCTTCCTTTGAATTCGACTCGCTTGGCTATTTCAAATAGCACTTGTTTTTCTCGAGCACATCGTTTATTCGATAGAATTTACAAATAGATTCATAGTGCCAATGCCACTCTACCCCATTATTACTGTCTGACGGGCTATTTTTGATTGCAGCCAATGTTGTTTGGTTGTCTTCCATCTGCTGTTGCTGTTGATGTTGTTGGTACCAATGCCGTAATCGATATCCTCTAGAGACAATTCTTTTTTCCCGATTCCGATTTACACTAAACTTTCTCCATTACCGAATCAATATTTGCTTGCTGGTTCGCCTTTCATAAAAGCTCGTCTCCGAACGCAATTCCAAACTGCAAAATGAATTTTATTACATTCTATCAATCAAAATTTATATACATGCGAATTGGAGAAGGAAGTTCGCATTGAACAAACATTATTCACGATACAGTTTCGCTGCAATAGCTTATTCATACCAGCCAGTTTGCACACTAAACGTGACCTTCGACCATTCGCATTCATTCATCGTTGATATTATTGGAACAAATGACTACGAAATTCGTAGTCATTCGTAATACGACCTGACAATCGATTTGTAATTTTTGGCATTTGAACCAATTCTTATTGACCGTTCAAAAGACCGTTTATGGCTTTGTAAAATGTGCAAGAAGGCATCGGTCTCACGCCTACAGCTAACCAAACACTTCTGAGTCAAAGTATTCCAATAAAACTCATCGTTCTAAAGAGTTGTTCAAAGAATCGGTCAAATTTCGAGCAATTATTCTCAACACTGCAATTATTTCCCACAAATTATTTCCATATCACGTATCGTACACAAACTATCGATTATGTTGAGTATACAAATTACGGATTTAGTTTGATGAGACTGATGCCTTACGGCACACGTGCAAAAACTATTTAAACAACCGAGAAATTTCTATTTATTTCTTCATTGCCAGCGATGAAATGCTCTTTTCACCGGAACTAACTTTTCGCACTAAATCGTAATGCTCAATTGCTGCATTTTCCATATGCAAAACTTCAGTTTGTTGAACGTTGTTTTTATTGTGCTTATTCAGTACACGAGCTCACCTCCGTCGATTCTCAGTCTCAGAATTGGCCCAGTAATATGAAAATTTAATCAAATTGATGCATTCAACGATGTTTCAGGTTTCAACGTTGGTGAAATTTCAAGTTTCGTAGTGTTCGTTGTGTGAATTTATAACAGAATTCCCAATTGACTTACGGACCCGACCGACACACAGATGTAGATGAAACGGTGAGATAGTGGATAAAATTTAAACTGCCGTCTCTCCTCCTCCCACTCTTTTGTCCTGTTAGTATGTATTGCTCTCGGAACCCCATCAACGGGCGCATTTTGGTAAATGTCGTGTTTTCCATTGCGTTGTGCATTTGATCCTGTATTTAAGGCAACAATAGTCAATGTAATAACAATCATTCAAATTACGAAATACATTTTTGGGGCGAAAACTTTATGCCAACATTTTATTTAATCAACCGGCCGAGTTTCTTTTTATTTCAAGCATATTTTGGGTCATGTAGCCTTTATGCGTCGAACAATGACCGGTATTATCCACATGCATCTGCTGAGTGCTTTGTCTCGCCGGCTAACAAGTACAACATGAGCTACATTAAACCAAATATGCTTATGCTCTATCTCGACAAACTTTTACAAGAGGTTGAATGAAATGTAATGATTATCGAGGGGCAATTTTGATTTTCAAGTGAACTTTTGTTCTCTTGGCACAGCGGCGATGAAGATGGAAGCGACAACAATTTCAACTTGTCTGTTTTAATAGCATCCCATTATTATGAGTATCAAAATTAAAAACGTTTATTACGGACCATTTTTCTTTGAAGGTGAAACAAGACTATCTACAGGAAGTGTAGACAAATGGTAGAGAAAAAGAACCAGAACCTTTTTTTTTCTTATGAAAATAGAACAGGAAAAGTTTATCAGAAAACGCGAAACATTCGATGATGATTCGGACGGATGATTCACGAAACAAAAAAGTCTATTGTTTCAAAACGAGAAGTTTTCTTCTGCTGAAGTGCTTTTGAAAACTATTTAGTTGGGTTGCAGATGTTCTCAGTCTGCTGCCCCTCACTCAAAACTCGGAACCATAGGCCACCGTCTGTAGTAGCAGCAGCAACAGCAGTAGCATAAGTTTGACTTGTAAACGCTCGTTTTACATGTGTTTTTTCGTGTTATTAATTTTTTTTTTGTTTCGCAATGGTGTTTTTTCACCAAGTGAGTTTGGTTTAAAACCCCTTTTTTGCCTACGATTTTGGTCGAATCAAATGAAAATATTTAAACTTTCAGCACACAGTTAAAATCAACATTTTTGCGCTTTCGACGCTTTATTAAAAATTACCATGGCAGAAAAAAAAAAGTTAATTCAACTTCGGTGTTTCTGTGAATTAATTACATCGAAAGAGTGCGATGAGCTTATTTCAATGGGTTCGGTGCTCTTGAGAAATCAAGAAATCATTTTGCATGCTGGTGAAAACAACAACAACAAATGTCACGTGAAGTTCATTTGAATACGCGAGCAAGGAATAGGAACGAGTCGACAAGACGTATTATATTATTGAAGTACGCATCTCAAAATCCGATGCTTGGTCTGAGAGGAGTTTCCAAAAAGTTAGGCTAGTAGCTGCATGATTAAAACATAAAGCACTCGAAACAAGCATTCGCAATCGTACCGCGCTCTCGAAGTGCCATCGAGTCAAATTGAACAAATGTTCTTCGCCTTGTCAATGAAATATTTATGCCGTTTCGCTGCCAAACGTGGCAAACACTGGGCCGGTGCTTGTGCTACTACTGACATTGCCGATGTCGTTACCGCTGTTGTGCAGCTTGTTATCCGGAGAACGAGCGCGATGAAAGAAGAAAGTTTTTTTTTCTACCAAAACTGGAATTCGATTTACTTTTGTCGACAGATTTGACAGCCAAACCTTTGTTTGTAGCGACTTCAACTGAGAGATAATCTAAATTAGCTTTTTTCCCATTTCGATGGATGGTTGTTTTTTTTTTCTTCGTCTTGTTGTTCTATTGAGTTGTTTTTGTATTTGGTTGTCACTTGAGTGCTTGTTTCCGTATTCCCTCGATTATTTACCTTATTTATTCAATGCGACGACATTCAAACGAAACAAAAGCGCACCGTGCTTTGGCGCACACAACTTGATCGTGTCAGTAATTTATGAAATCATTTCCATGGAAATGAAATCATGACAATGTTGCTGTCAGCATTGAATTTCCTTTTGTTAAACATGGGAAATTATCCCGAATGGAATTGAATTTGCGATTCTCGGAAATCAACCGATCCATTGTTGCATTCACCTCAATTTCGATTTCGCTTTTTTCCACCCCATATGAATTCCTTTTAACGTTTCTTTTTTCCAATAATTACTACTGTATTTCACAATGGCTGATTCAAACTCGTATCGAAACGAAACTTATTCCATGACATCTACTTTTTTTTCATGCACTAAACCATTTTTTTTCTCTATTTTTTTCCTTTCTCTCTTGATGCGGACGATAAAAAAACAACAATCAATGTCACTTGCATGCGATAATAGTTCCGCCGAACATCGACGACTCTCTCAGCTCGAGTGATGTAATTGTGCGTGAAGGTTCAAATGTGTCGCTGCGTTGTAGGGCATCTGGGAGTCCGACACCGACTGTCAAGTGGAAGCGTGACTCGATGGAAAAAATCGCCATAAATAAATCACTTGTTGGTGAGTATAGCACGAAGAATAAGTGCAGTGTATTTTGTTGTTCAACATGCATCTGAATGGTTACTTTCAATTAGATAGAGTGAGCCGAGCCTCTCCTCACTTTCAACCGGCGAACCTTGACGATAATTAATTTTATTTTTGTTTTGCTTTTCAAAACATTTAATCGCTACTTTGTACGATATCCATTTGTTGCATTGTTCCGTTGGACAGACCAAGTGCAAGGGCTTCATTCTCTCTTCTATTGAAAAAATAAATAAACAGTGACAAACAATGCATAGAGCATTGTGTATTGTGTTTCATTCATGTTTTCAATTCCGGAACGTCGAGGAAAAACCAGCACAATATCACCCACCAAGCAAAGACAAAAAAAAACACAAACTTTTAATGGGTTTTACTCCATTGAAGATGAGTGTGAAGCGATTTTGTGTTTTGCACCAACATCTGACTACAAAAAAAAACGCGCGAACCGCAGATTTTTTCCGTCATTCCAAATTGAATTTCCAATAGACTTGTTACTGTTAGAATCATTTTTACCCGGATTCTTACACTAATGCTGCAACACTTTTTTCCCACCATTTTCCGTACACTTTCAAACGCATTTGGCGCTCATTCATTCTTTTTGGTTCTTTTTTCACCTTGGTGCAGTCAGCGAATGGGATGGTGACACATTGGAAATATCGCGAATATCCCGGCTAGACATGGGCAGCTACTTGTGCATAGGTAAGGGTGAAAACTTTGAAATTTATTTATTTAGAATTTTTATTTCGAAATTAGAAATTTTTCGAAATGTTCAAAGTTTTATTTTGGAAATTATTCGTTAACATGTAATTTTTGAGTTCAAAAAACTTTGACTTTTCGATGGAAATATTTCTTGAAATGATTTTAAAACAACTTTAACTGCGGATAAAAATGCGTTTGTCAAAAAATGTATATCAATTGCCCTAGAACATTTTCAAGTTTGAAAATGTTTTTAGCCAGAAAAAGCTGTTTGAATTCATTTCAAAAATACTTTGTTCATTTCCATTGCAATTAGGTCGAGCTTCCGAGAAAAAAATACTTTGAGCATTAGCTCGTTTTTTTTTTCTTCTGTACCACTTTGCCCTATTTGTATTCTTATTTGTGTGTACTTTTGTTTCAGCATCCAACAATGTTCCGCCAACTGTTTCGAAAAGGATTAAAGTGAGCGTTGATTGTAAGTACAAAAATGTCAAGCTTCGTTTTTTTCTGTCCTTTTTTTTGATTCAATGCAGGAAATCGGCAAACACGTGAACACAAATTGGATGTTGCCAGTGAAAGTATGTTCCTCAGAAAATCGAGTCAATTAGAGATGACGGTGTGACATTAGGCAGATTTGTCTATTTTCTCCATTAACGAGGCCCCTTTATGCTTGTTATCCGAAATGGTTTTACGGCCGCCAATCGAAAGCAGAATGGCACAATTGCATGCATAAAAAAAACAATCCCAAAGCCGAAAAAAAGCATAGCAACAATGTAATTGACGCAATATGTTCGCAATGCGAGAAGCCAGGCAAATTTCAAAGCGAATGTATTCATCAAAATTTCAAAATGCCCAATGTGTGTCGAGTGGAAAAAGAGAGAGAGAGAGAGAAAAAATTGGTGAGTGTGTGAAACCAAATCCGTAGAAAAACATTCGCTCTGGCGCAACATTTTATTGCTCTAGTGTGAAGCATAAACATGGTCGTAACATGGGAAAATGGCAACCAATGGCTTTTTGCGTTTCACACACACATATATTCGTTTTTCGGAGGGGCTTTAACACAGTAGCAAAACCGTTTAATAGAATATTAAAACCTAATTTTGATGCCAATGTAGAGCCATTCAAGCATTTAAATCAACCGAAAAGCCTTTTCTTTGCCCAGCCATTAGCCAGCGACGACTACGACGACGACCGGGAGAAGTAGTGTGTGAGCGGCGGCTCGGAATGCTGCGGCTCAGTTATTTTGTTTAACACAAACCAAACAATGACCTGCCACCAGTAAAAATATCAATTTCAACGGTCATAAATCGACACAGCAAAAATCCAATGAATTCCAAACGCAAAGGGAGAGAGAGAGAGTGAGTGAGTGTTTATTTTTGGAACGGCATTGTAATGCATATCGCAGCTGTAAAATGGAGTTGTTTTGTTTGGCACAAAACATTCTCGGAATACAACCGCAGGAAAAATACACACCAAGAAATATTTTTCTCTTGTGTGAGTGTGACTGTGATTTGTGTATGTTCCAACTCATTTGAATAGAATCGAATTTCGAGCCAAACATACACACACATATGACCGGTGTAAGTGGCTGCCTGGACATTTTCCAGCTTCACAATATTGAAAAGGCATGTTTCGAAATGCATGACCATATAAATAAAAGTGGCTGGTTGGGATTTGAATCGAATTGCTTATGCATTTGAATTTGGGATTTAGATTGTTTCGCCATTTATGGGAACTTTAGGCTTAGACGATTGGAATTTGCATCGAATGCCTTTTGCTGTATAATATACAGTGTATTGTATATTCAATTACAACGAAACAAATCAAATCAGCGCCACAGAAATGACAATTAAATTTTGTTGGATTTGTTTTCTCTCGAACTCGAATTATTTTAATTGAGATGCATTCGAATCATTTGAGAAGAAGACGAAGAGAGGGACATGAAATGAAGAGATGTTAAACTGTAAGATGGAAAGACAGGACGTGCAAGAGAAAACTAAATGAGGAAAAGGAAAAAGAGTGAGAATACAAAATTGTTTACGAAACGTTGACCATTCAAATTTTGGTGATTTCAGTCAGAAATGCCTGGTGATTGCTGGGCATGACATAATTTAAATTAACTTAAATTGGTGTTTATTTGTCCCTGGAAGCCAAACAAATCGAACGGTCAGAAGCAGCCTTTTTTTCTGTTGTTCGCTCTCTCGAATAAGACACACACGATGCTAAACCATGCCGACACACTCGAGTTTCAAGAACAAAAGGCCCATCAGCACAACGTTCCCCACACACACATAGCAGGAACGGTTGTGCCGGTGTGCATACGGTTGTTGTTGGTGCTTGTTATTTTGAGTATTGATAGCGCTTTAAATAGTAATAAAACGACCGATACAAACACCGGCCCCTGCTATTACAACGATTTGCAATGAACGTTCGTTCACATCGATTACACACGTATTGAAATATGATTTCGTTCAACGACTGAACACGACGTCTAGTGTAAACATGTTTTGTGTGCGGAGCGGTACAGGGCGTCGTGCAATGGAATGTGTATATACTCGGTGTAAAAATCTGTGCAGCTTCGTCGAAATTGAGCAAATAGAAAAAACCGCATAAATTGGTGTTGCGGTAAAGCTCAAAGGATTTAGGTGGGCTTTAAGCAAATAAACGTCACCTTTTATGGTTGTGTGTGTGTGTGTGTGTGTGTGTGTGTGTGTGTGTGTGTGTGTGTGAAAGAGAATGAGCAAACGCTTCTCGTCGACTATGGCTTTTCCCACAGAAAATGCAATTCAAAGTGCAAACATGAATGAGCATTTCGAAACGTAGCAACAATTCCTTTTCCGTCCGAGAAACAACAGCATTTTAATATGCACAAGAACATGTGGTGAAAATCTCGAAGCCAGAGTCTGAAACGGTGTGCCATTCTTAAATGGATGCCACACTACCATTTTCCTTTCCGAAATGGGCTTGTTATCGTTTCGAACCATGATTTTAGGCAATGGTTTATAGACTAGACGGCAAGCAGTCGATTGTTGAAATGAAAATAACATGAGCACTTTTAAATAAATAGGAAAAACAGAAGCAAATGCACATCAACAGGAGCAGCAGCAGAGTTGCTGGCGCATTGACAAAATGCTTCACTTCACACGGCGTAAAACACGTATGCAAAATATGCCCCTGCACAAAAGCACATACGCACATTTGAAATGCAAAAAACAGCAGCAGCAGCAGCAGCAGCATCAACATCAACGAGGTTGGCGGCAAAAACAGCTTGACTTATTATTTGTTCAAAGAGCTCATGCCATTTTCAACTCATAAATGTGTATGCCACTCAACCGGCAATGTTCGATTAAACCAAGTGAAGAGAATGCACAAACTGAAGAGAGTGTTGTGGCGGCAGCGGCAGCAGCACAAGCATCACCAACAAACAAAAAACGAACCTGATCTCAATACAACGCTTCAGTATGCAATCATTTCCCATTCTTTGCTCGAAATAGCACACACTCGTCGTCGTCGTATACCGAATTCATTTGACTTTGTTGGCTCCAGCCAAATGGAAAACGGTAGACGTGCAGAGAAAGAAAAAAACTAAATTCTTTGGCGCCTCTCGGTTCGTTCGGGTTTCGGTGTCGGTTAGGTGTTTGGCGTGTGCTTAGGAAAACTCATCGAAATTTAATGCATTTAAAAAGGAAAATTTATTTTTCGATTTTGGCGGTCGTAAATTTTAAAATCAATATGGAAATGGGCTCTCCACCAACGCCATCGCAGCTGCCGTTCCTTTTTCACTTCGTTTCGATTGTTCGATGACTGTTCAACTTTTATGTGAAGATTTCAACGTCACAATCAATGTTGGTTTGCCTGACTTCGATTCTTGGTCGGTTTTTTTTGCACTTTTTCTTCTGCTGTTGTTGCTGTTGGCATCATTTCCTCTAGGAGCAAACACATAAAAAAATGGGGACGATTCTCACACTTTTCCGTCGTCCAAACTGCTGCAGTGATATTTTCTCCAGTGGAGAATTCTGTCACAGTTTGTTTGCAGCCGCATGTCAATCATGAATGAAATAATAGATATTCACATTTTTTTCGGCAGCGGCGTCATCGTCGTTTGTATACACATTGTTTGTCTTTCCATTAAATTTTTTCTGCCTTGTTCTCGTGTTGCTGCCGGTGCAATTTACATTTCAGTGGCGACTGAACGCTCTCTTTCATTCAACGTTTTATTATTGGTTTCGATCATAATTTGAAGTGAGATGCACGACGAGCGCGCGTTTTTTCCTCTGTGGCCACCGCAACATCTCTTCAAGCGGCCAATAAATTGAAAATGTTCGAAACAACACTCGACGTGGAGAGACCGTGTCTGAAATGGAAATTGCGTTAAGTGCCATCGTAGTTGGTTATGAGGAGTACCATTTATTCGTAAGTTGGTTTTGCTCATGGCAAACCACTTCGCTTCATGCATTTTACAATGTCAGGGTTTCTTTTTTTTTTTGCTGGTTCAAGAGCGAAAGAAAGAGCGAAAAAAAAATTATTCATGCGAATTACCCCAAGGAGCTGTTGTTTCCCTTGTTCTCATTAATATCGTTGTCGCAATGTTGAACCGTCGCCAGATTCAGTGTCGGCAATAATTGCGGTCGAGTGGCTGGTCGTTTGGAAACAGTACTTGCAGCTTGATGAAATGATAACAATCGAGAGAACGAGCGGGAAAATCCACGCGAATGACACAGCATCGAAATTTGAACCGGAAAAATTTATTATTATCGATGTAATTGTCGGAGTGCGCGTCATTTCTGAACATACACAAAACGGATGCCAATGTCAAGTTGCCGACTGCCTCTCTCTAATTTGAATGCTCTCGCTCTCTTTCCAACCATTGTTCCCCCATTTGCAAACGAAAAATAAAAACCATCGTTTTGAACCGAACAAACGACACTTCTTCTCTTTTTTTTTCTCGAGAATTGACACAGATGTTTTTAATTTTCGTGCAATGCGGTGCGGATAAATAATAAGGAAATCAGGCCAATGAAACACGGAATATTAAATTTTCGCCCCGATAATTGATGGTTCCGGCGAAAAGGTGAACGTTTTATCGCTTGTCGCAAATAAAATATTAATTGCTGTTTATATGATGGCAACTTAAATTAATGTAAATATTTAACACTTTTTAATGAATTATATTACTCGACACCTTCTTCTCGGGATGATGGATGCTGTGATGCGGGGCGGTCGACTCACTGTGACGCACACAGCAACATGGAGAGGGTGTGAGAGCATGAGCATTCATTATGTGGTGACTTATCACATTTGCATAAATTCATTTTGGTACGACATCAAGCTTCACATTTCAAATTAGCCGTCTGTAAAATAATATTATTCATGGTTTATCCCCATGACCCAACCTCTTATATCCGCCTGAAAAAAAATACCTCTCTTACATTTGGAGTCTTGTCGCTTTTGCATCTACCGGCAAATAACTTTTAC